TGGTGTTGCGATACACACCATCACCTTCTGGTAGTATGGATCCAATGTCAAGAGAATTCAATGTGAAGAACCCAGAATTAAACAAAGAGGAGAATCCAGATCATTCTCCTCTCTTTTGTAATCAGAATTCAAATTGTAATTAAGATCAAGAGAATATAAATCAAATTTCTTTCATCCTATTTACTACAAATTTTCCACCAAACAAGCACCCTTTAATTAATTAAGCCTGTGGCTTGTTGAGATGCGAAAATTTTTTTTTATGCGTCTACAAAATTTCCCCCCTTGGACTTATGTGCTCAGTTTTTTATAACCTAGTGCGTGAGTCCAAGTTAATTATTTTCTTTCTTTTTTTTGTTAACCCATACCATATCTCATTTTAAAAAAAAATTGAATGGTTGGAAAGACATTCATCAATCATGTATTTTGGCAAAAATTACCTCTTAACCCCTTTTGTTAAAAGATACACATTAGCTTCATCTTTTCTTCAACTACATGTGTTATTGTAGAGATTTTTATACTGGCTTGTTATGAAATTTTTTTGTAGGCTTATGGTTAGTCAATTTAAACCAAATATGAGGAGTTTTTATTTAATTCAAGTTGCTAAATTAGTTAGAGATAGAATCAAATTTTGAAAGGGTTATCAATAAATTTTAGGATAGAATCCTACCAGAATTTAAAAAGAAAATCCAATCCTCCAATTAAGGTTTAAATAGCTATATATATACCCCCTCATTTTTAATTGGTGTTATGTTAGATTACCTTAGGAAATTTGTAAGGAAACGTTTTTCAAAAAAAAAAATTGTTTCTGTGCACGTCCACCCTGCGCCTATTCTCTCATTTTTTGTCCTCTTCTCCTTGTCCTTTTCTCGTCATCTTCTTTTTTTTGTCCTCCGTGCGCCCGTTCTCTCATTTTTTTCGTCCTCTTCTCTATTTCTCTATCTCTTCGTCCACTTCTCATATTTTTTTTGTTCGCTTGTGTTTGTTCCCTAGGTGATCTCTTCACATTTTTTATGTTGTTTTCTCCCATTCATCCCCTTCTTCTTCTCATTTTCTCCTGGTCTTTTTTTCAAAATTTTTTTATTCATATCTCTCTTTTTTTTGAGTTACAATTTTTACTTTTATTAAAAAAATTAATTTTGATTACCCTTTTTTCTTTATAGGCTCCATTGTTAATCTAATACATAAATCATCAACTACTCTTTCATTTTACTATCACAAGATAAAAAAAATTATTTCTTGTTGAATGTGACTAAATATTAACTAGTTAATATTCTTTGTAGGTTTCTCGACTGCAACCCATGGAATTATAGTGAGTCCTTCTGTAAATTTTCTTAACAAGAAAAAGTATATAAAATATCATAGCCATATTCTTTTTATCGATGTCAATAGGCTCATTTACATGTACAAAGCATTACAAAGTTTTTTTTACAATTTTTTTTGTTAATCACATTTGTTAATGTACTTTGTGTAATGACCGTAAATTTCTAATACGGGTTTAAATAATTTTCTGGTATTTAAATATTAAATATTATTTTTCTAAAAGAGTATTTGTATTTCCCCAATTTTTCTAGAATTTTCTACGATTTAAAAATACTGTATTGTATTATTTTAATAGTTTTGCTAATTATAAATTTAATTATTTCGGTAAAACTTTTAAATTAATAGTTAATTATTTATTATTGTTATTGTTATTATTATTATTATTTTGATCATAAATTTTTAATAATTATTTGATTTAAATTTTTGGTATTTTTAAATTATTTTGATCATAAATTTTTAATAATTATTTGATTTAAATTTTTGGTATTTTTAAATTATTTTGTAAAGGGGTATTTTTTCCCTGTGTTTTCCCTCTCATCGGTTGATCTCTCTGTCTTTCTCTCTCTCATCTCTCCCCTACC